CCAGATAATGGTCAAACATTATTCTAGGTGTTTCAGTGGGGGTGTCTTTGGATGAGACTAACTTTTAAATCAGTAGACTGAGTAAAGCAGGTTGCTCTCCCAAATAAGGGTGGGCCTCGTTCAATCAGTTGAAGGCTTGCATAGAACAAAAGACTGCCTCCCCCAAGCAAGAGAGAATTCTCCGGCCTGGCAACCTTTGAACTGAAACATTGGCTCTTGCCAGTCTCCATAATCATAAGAGTCAATTCTTTATAATAAAGACATATATGTTTATGTATCTATTTCTATATATTATATATATAATATATATGTTATCTGTCTATCTCTCCTATTGGTTATTTCCCTGGAGAGCCCTAATACAGAGCAATGCCATTGTTATACTGAACCTGCAGATAAAACTTAAAACATCTTAAAATGTGAGAGAATTCAGATCACACATGAAAACTAAAGCAAAGCAGGTTTTTTTCTGAACAACAAAGGTCATATGTAGATACATTTTGAAATCTCTGGTATTTATGGCTGAATCAAAAAATACATATAGAGTTCTTTCCAACATACACCATTTGCTAGTGACTTCCTGCCTATTCTAACCTGCAGCTTTGGGGATTATTTGGCTTTAGTAGATGAGTCACACAGCTAAGGACTCTTCCTACACTGGGTGAACCAAAGGGAAAAAGGGCACTGAGGTTTGTTTCCTTGGGCAGTCTGGTTATTGGATTTTACAGAATTCCATGGAGATTTTTATATCCTCTAACCATGGCCTTAATTTATGTCAAAAGCATGCTACTGCCTCCAAAAGGATAGAGGACAGGCAAGAAAAGCCTTATGTTAGATGGGACAGTGTCCTGAGAACAGAAGACAATCTACATAAAGAAAAAAGTTTGAGATAATATGAAAAATTGAGGAACCCAATGATACCTTAGTAATAGCCAGAGAAAGTGAATTAGGGAAATCACCTTGGAGTAATTTGAGCTCATCAGTACTGATAAAACAGCAAATCATTCTTGACTGCTAAAGGGCCTTCCCTGACCTACAGTCTCTTTTCCCCCACTTATCTGGTCACTCAGCTATTCTATTCAAAGAAGAAAGCCAGGGCAGTCACTATCCCACAGCTCTGTTCTCAGCCCTCCTTTGGGTTTCTCAGAACACCCTGTAGGGAATGAATTATGCTTTCTTTTTTTTTTGAGTTGGAGTCTCACTCTGTCACCCAGACTGGAGTGCAGTGGCAAGCTCCCGACCACCACAGCCTTGACCTGCTGGGTTCTGGCGATCCTTCCGCCTCAGCCTTCCAAGTAGCCGGAATTACAGGCATGCGCTACCACACCCGGCTGATTTTTTGATTTATTGTAGAGTTGAGGTCTCGCCTGCCCGGGCGGGTCTCGAACCTGCGGGCTCAGGAAGTCCACTCACCTCAGCCTCCCAAAGATGCAGGATTACAGGCTGAGTCACCGAGCCCGGCTGAATTATGCTTTCTTTTTGGTCAAAGGCCAGTCAAGTGGTTAGAAGGGCATGAGGGACATCTTGTTTCAAACACAGAACCATCTCTAGGGAGAAGCTACAATATCCACGTTTTAAACAATTTTACCCAAGAGGAAGCATCCAAATGATAAAACCTAATTATTTTTAGTATGATCACATTTCCATTCATGTAACTATTTCATTTTTTCCTCATATAAATGCTTTCCTTTCCTTTATGGATAGGAGCATGAGGGGGGAATTAGTTATATTTCAATTCCTTCTTTAATTAGTTTCAGGCCTATGATGTTCAACAACTAGGAGTGAAAAACCAGAAGAGCTGGCAGGCCAGCCTCTAGCAATACTTGGAAAGGCAGGTGAATCCCAAGTCAGTAAATGGGAAAATAAAAATATATTCAATTTTTTAAAAAAGGTCACGTCTCTAAGCAATGTTTGGGATGTTATATCAAGTACTGAATTGGTACTAGCAGATGGATCTGCACAATTGGTATTAGTAAACTAACATATAAATTGAATATTTACCTTCATTTTAAAATAAAGTTTTTAAAAAATAAAGTGTCTGTTTCCATAATATTCTTGCACTATCAGTACAAAACTACACCTTTAAAAACTCACATTAAAAACCAATTACTACCATGAACAAAAGATTTATTCTCATTTATTTGTGATTTTGTAGGGGTTCAAACCAATGAATAAAAAACAACTATCTCTTTACATAAATGAAATTTTCTACTCTGCTATTATTTGCAGAATCACAGTAATTAAAAGCCTATCTGAAAATGGTAATACAAAAGAGAACTACAAGGTTTCAAATGACTATGCAAGTTATGATAACTGGCATCAAAAACACACACACACAATGAACCACTGAAGGCTTGGTTCCCTTCTCTTTCTGATATTTGGTCTCTGATCTTTTTGTTTGCTTGTTTGTTTATTAGAGTTGGGGAAGTCTCACTTGGAGGCCCAAGCTGGAGCGCAGTGACAGGATCACAGCTCACCACAGCTTCATCCTTCTGGGCTCAAGGGATCCTTATGCCTGAGCCTCCCAAGTAATTGGGAGTATAGGTACATATCACCATGCCTGGATAATTTTTAATTTTTTATAGAGATGAGATCTGGCTATATTGCCCAGGCTGGTCTCAAACTTTTGAGTTCATGTGATTTTCTTGCCTCAGTCTCCCAAAGTGGTAGGATTACAGGCATGAGCCACTGCACTGTGCCTGGCCTCTAATCTCTTAGGACAGTGGTTTTCTTTCTTTCTTTTTTGGGCGAGGGTATAGGAGATCCTTCTGCCTCAGCCTTCCAAGTAGCTGGATCTATAGGCATGCCCACCACACCTGGCCAATTTTTTGATTTATTTTAGAGTTGAGGTTTTGCCAAGTTGTCCAGGCTGGTCTTGGATCCCTGGGCTCAAGCAATTCTCTTGCTTTGGCCTCTCAATGTACTGGGATTACAGGCATGAGCTACTGTGCCCAGCCAGGACAGTGGTTTTCAAGTTGTGTGTGTACTGGAATTACCTGGAGAACTAACAGAGCATACAGAAGCCTAGGATCATTTAAATAAGAAAGGTATGGATCTTTGTATCTTTACCAAATTCTCCAGCAATGATTTCCAAATTAGGCGGATCAAAATCAACTGGGAAGCTTTGAAAACAACAACCAGCTGGGTGCGGTGGCTCCCACCTGTAATCTCAGCCCTTTGGAGGCGGAGGCAAGAGTATTGCCTGAGTCCAGGAGTTCAAGACCAGCCTGGGAAACTTGGCGAGACCTTGTCTCTACAATAAATAAAAAAATTACCTGGGTGTGGTGGTGCACACCTGTGGTTCCAGCTACTTGTAAGGATGAGGTGGAAGGATTACCTGAGCCCAGCAGGTTGAGGCTGTGGTGGACATGAGTGTGTCACTGCACTCCAGCCTGGGCGACAGAGTGGGACTCCAACTCAAAAAAAAAAGAAAAAAAAGAAAAGAAAAGAAAACAACAACCACATTTCCAGGCTTCATCCCTGGAAATTTTTATTCAGTAGGTTTGAGGTTGGGACCACAAAATCTTAAAACATTAAAACAAAAACAAAACAACTTTGACAAACTTCCCAGGTAGTTCTGATCAGTCAGATTTGGGAGCCACTGACTTAGGACACTTACTTAAGGTCTATCAAAGAATTTCAGGCTTCTGAGTTCACTAAGAATATTTATAACTTTGGGTAGGTTATAAACCACCATCCTGGAGAGAATTTAACAAATTAAGCTATCTAGAAGTGATCTGATAGTAAAAACCCTGCCCAATTTAGTACTTAAATTACCTAATGATTTTTTATCTATCCACTCTTCTCCCCCAGGCCAAGGCCTGCACATAATGTTTGTTTCCTATGGCTAAGTGCTAGCTGCCCACAGTGCTCATAAAGTTGTCCTGATGGAGGTTCTGCTAGTCCCTCTTTTCTTCTTCCATTCATGTTGCCAAAGCTGTGAGGAACTGACCTATTCCAGAGCATCACAGCTACTTGCAGTAATATGCATTAAGACATCAACCAGAAATCTGCAAACCCTGCCCCAACTCCACTTCTTGGGACACACAAAACAACCCTAATGTGAGGATTAAGTTCTTTGTGGAAGAAAATCCTCTCATTGCACAAAATAGGCAGTTTAAAAGTTTGACTGTCCTTGAACAAGATAAATTTTTTGTTTTTTTAGTCATGGTCTCACTCTGTCAACAAGGCTGGTGTACAGTGGCATGATCATGGCTCAACACAGCCTTGAACCCCTGGGCTCAAGCAATCCTCCTGCTGCAGCCTCCTGAGTAGTGAGGACTACAGGTACACACCATTGCACATGGCTAGTTTTTTGTAGAGATGAGGTCTCACTGTATTGCCCAGACTGGTCTTGAACTCCTGGGCTCAAGCAATCTTCCTGCCTCAGCCTCCCAAAGTGCTGATATTACAGGCATATGTCACTGTGCCTGGCAAGAAAGTTAATTATGATTCTAGAAGTTTTAAAAAAGACAGTGACTTCTGGATCATCTCCAGTAGCCCAAAACTTATAGATGTCCAGATCCCCTCCTTCTGTATCCCAGAATCAGATATTTAAATTCCAAGACAAAAAGAATCTGAAAGCAATGGCCTACAAAGAATTTGAGAAAAGACATTTGATCTCATTTTTTTCTCTTAATTAATAATATTAATATATAGCAAATGGAAAAATAAGCTCAAAAGTAGGTGAGAATTGTGATGTCTAAAACAGAGATGCTGATTTCTAATCATTCTCCCCAAATTCCAGATCACAAATTGAGGGATGAGATGATCTTACTTTTTTTTTTTGAGTTGGAGTCTCACTCTGTCACCCAGACTGGAGTGCAGTGGTCGCTCCCGGCCACCGCAGCCTCGACCTGCTGGGCTCCGGCGATCCTTCCGAGTAGCCGGAATTACAGGCGCGCGCTACCACGCCCAGCTAATTTTTTGATTTTATTGTAGAAATGAGGTCTCGCCTGCCCAGGTGGGTCTCGAACCCACAGGCTCAGGCAATCCACTCACCTCAGCCTCCCAAAGGCGTGGGATTACAGGCTGAGCCACCGAGCCCGGCGATGATCTTTCTTATACAGAAGGCACTAACTGGGCCACATGAGCCAGCAGCAAGTTGAAGCCTAATCCAGGAGATGCAGAAATGCACATGGGTCCCAGGTGTCTTTTCTGAGCGATGATGGGCATCCTTACTGGACAGTAGGCAGGAGACAGTTCAAATGTATCTAATAAAACTGCCAGATGGGTAACAAAAGGGAAGTGATGGAAAGACCTCCTAGAACTGGGATGGAAAACAAGTCAAATGCTATGAGCAGCAGGTCCAGCTGGAGGAGGACTTGGTTTGTAGGTTGATGTAGTTTCCTTGGGTGGACAAAGACAGGCTATCTTCTCTGGAATTGCTCATCATCTTTTCAATGAGGACTCTAAAAAAAAAATTAAAAAATAAGCCTGAGAAGTTGGATGGAGGAAAAGGACAAATGGCAGACACGGTCTGTCTTATCACCAGACAGCATTTGGTAAAGCCAGAAGCCTAAATACCTCTGTAATCCCCAGTATCTAAGGAGAGAAGACCTGACCTGCAGGAGCTGGCATTTCGGTGGCTTCATCTGTTCTTGTTGGCTCAGAAACAAGAAAAGAGGGTCCACGGGGCCACAGTGGAAGATGGGGAAATCTGCATGCCTATCCGAGGATAGCATGAGCTACTCACCTCATGGCCTCATTAATGTTTTTGTTCTCCTTGACTGATGTTTCTGTCCAACCTGTGAAGCCGTTCTCTTTACTGAACCGGTCAATCTGGTCCCGGCTCACAGCCCAAGGAGACAGATCACACTGACAAAGATAATACATAAAATGGAAAAACATAAGCTTCCTTGGAATAAGAATATGACTCAGATATCTGTGGATTTAAAATACGGCTAATGCCGGGTGTGGTGGCTCAAGACTGTAATCCCAGCACTTTGGGAGGCTGATGTGAGAGGACTGCCTGAGCCCAGGGGTTCGAGACCAGCCTGGGCAACTTGGTGAGATCTTGTCTTTACAGTAAATAAATAAATAATTAATTAGCCGAGTGTGATAGCACTCGCCTGTAGTTCCAGGTACTTGGAAGGCTGAGGTATGGAAGATTGCCTGAGCCCAGCAAGTCGAGGCTGCAGTGGCCGTGAGCATGCCACTGCACTCCAGCCTGGGCCACAGGGTGAGACTCCAACTAAAAAAAAAAATACACATGGCTAAGAATACCAACATCTAAAATCTACAGTCAACATTCTTCCCAAAGAAAGTCTCTTTGAAAGGAGACTCAACATCCTTTGAAAGGAGATAGAGATGATTCTGCCAACGTGAGGAGGGGAAATGGGTGCCCAAAGTCAAAGAGCATCTTATTTATTTTAGAGACAAGGTCTTGCTCTGTCACCCAGGTTGGAGTGCAGTGGTGTGATCATAGTTCACTGAAGCCTTGAACTCCTGGGCTCAAGGGATCTTCTGGAGTAGCTGGGACTCCAGGTGCACACCACTATGCCCAGTTAATTTCTTTCTTTTTTTTTTTTTTGAGTTGGAGTCTCACTCTGTCGCCCAGACTGGAGTGCAGTGGCTGCTTCCGGCCACCGCAGCCTCAACCCGCTGGGCTCCGGCGATCCTTCTGCCTCAGCCTTCCGAGTAGCCGGAATTACAGGCATGCGCTACCACGCCCGGCTGATTTTTTGATTTATTGTAGAGATGAGGTCTCGTTGCCCAGGTGGGTCTCGAACCCGTGGGCTCAGGCAATTCACTCACCTTAGCCTCCCAAAGGTGCGGGATTACAGGCTGAGCCACTGAGCCCGGCTCCAGTTAATTTCTTAAACATTTTTGTAGAGGAGAGGATCTTGCTGTGTTGTCCAGGTTGGTATCAAGCTCCTGGGCTCAAGCAATCCTCCCACGGCTGCCTCCTAAGTAGCCAAGACTACAGGCACACGCTATCATGCCTGGCTAATCACATAGCATTTTAGATACATTTACTCTCTGACCACAGATTGAGGTTAAAAGCCATTTTCTTAGATTGGCCACAAACCTTGTTGGCCAAGAGCAGGCAGGGCACGAGCTCTCCATTGGGCAGTGTAAGCTTGCTGTCCAGGTCCTGTTTCCATCTCTGGCTGTTGCTAAAGGTAGTGGCATTGGTAACATCGAACATAATAACACAGGCAGAGGCATCCCGATAGTATAGTCGTGTCATAGAGGTGAAGCGCTCTTGCCCTGGGGAGAAAGGGAAAAGTTCTCAAGAAGGTGATCCTGAGAATCAGTCTCAGGACGCTGACACCCTGCCCTCTCTCTCTCTTCACTGTGGAAGAGGGCAGCAAGCATATGTGGCTGAGGGAGACATTCACTTGCCCTGACTCTATCCCATCAAGGGATAATTAAGCCCGATGATCTCCAGGGCAGATTCTGCATCCAGATTGCTCAAGTCTAAATCCCTGCTCTGCCACTTATTATGTGACTTTGAGCAAATCAAACTTCAGATTTCTCAATTGTAAAGTGAAGATAAAAGCAGTGGCTTTTATGACAGGGCTGTTGTGAGGATTAATGAGTCAGTGAATTTAAAATGCTTAGAAGAGTGCTTGGTACATAAGAAGGGTTCACTAGTATTATTTTCTCTATTTTCTGGGATCTAGTTTCTTACCAAGGTCAGCTTTAAACCTAGAAAAAGCCCCCCCCCCCCCCCCCCCCC